CACACACACACACACACACACACACACACACACACACACACACACACACACACACACACCTGCAGATACTGAATCATTCAGTATCTGCAGATTTCTAGCATTGCATCTCCCAGTACTTAAAATGATACCTATTTGAAACACACCTACTAAGATATCAGTTAAAGCAGACTAGTCAAGGGCACCTTTTGAAGATATAGAGAAGACATCATTTAATCATAAGTTCTACAATCTTTTAAAAGCCCCACAGAAAACCACTCCATTTCAAACCATCCTCAGCTGCAAACTGACTTGAGGCATCAATGATGCATCTGACCTCATATAAATAGAAATGCAGTAAATGCCTTCTTCACTGCTATAAAGTCATTGCAGCGATGGCTTTTTAATCTCTAAATGGCTCCACAAGAAAATCCATGGCATAATGCATTGACAGGAAACTTACTGACTGACTGACTAATATCACAATGTCAACACTAATGCACAACCTAGGGCTACAGATAATGTGTATTCTATTATCTAGATTAAGATACAACAGGAAAAAATTAAGAAAATTCTGCCAGCAAGCCAATCCCATCAAAATAGAAGCAGCAGCATGTGGCAAGTACCAGAAATCTCGTAGTGTGGGTGACTTGAATATGTTATAACTAAATTATATAAACATAGCTTTCTGACACAGTAATTTAAATTTTCGGCATGTCTAGTGAAAAATACTCAAACAAGCCAAAGGCACACTTTGTCTTGGTATGTGAGCCAAAGAATATATCAATAAAGATCATTTACAACTAACAAAAACAGTCAGTGGAACAGTGTGTTGAGATGTGGTTGGTAACCCATATTAAATTAACACTTATAGTTGATGTTAAAACAGATTTAAGTTGGGGAAAGGTTATTTTTTTCTGTAATTGCATGTTTTTTTCTCAACAGTATGTATGCAACTCATTTCTGCAGACTTTCCAAATGAATTACTGTGAAATACCATTTCTACCACAGCCAACATACCCTAGTACCACCCACTGAGAACAGTGACACAGAAGGCATTCTTGATCATTCTTGAGCCTTTAGTCTACATCATCCTCCTCGATCTTTACGGTCCAGATGTTCAGCATCAATCACAAAGGAAATCACTCCTCAGCAACATCGAATAGGGGGAGGTGTGAATCATGAAGACGAAAACAATCTGCCATGCAGCCTCCCCTAAGAACAACTCCTGACCTACATTGATATTTATAGTATGTTGGAAATGCCATGTGCGTGGCCTTGGTAAGTGTTACTTGCTGATGTTCGCAACTCACCACCATGTTAATCATAAAGTCAAATGTACAAGGTGTCCAAGAGGAAAACAGACTGGCCTAGAAAATACTACGAGGTGCGGCATCTGAGTTTCAGACTGTTCACGCTTGCTCTTAAAATGTCAGTTCTGTTATTTCTTTGGCTCCGATCTTTACAAATGGAGCAGCGCAGGATATACGGATTACTGGGGTAGTAGTCAGGATGCAAGAAAATGAGCATGCTTAAGAGACTTTCACTAAGATAACAATTTGGCCTTTGCCACCATTAACATCTGGCATAATCACAACACTGAAACAAACGTTGCAAGAAGCGACACAACCAGAATCTTTTGGACAGAAGTCAGACTGAACCGTCTAGCAAAACTGTTTAAACAGTAGGGCTGAACGATTATGGAAAATAATCTAATTGCGATTTTTTTGCCCCAATATTGCGATTGCGATGCGATATGCGATTATTTTTTAAGGTCTTTGTCTTCTGTATTATTAAACAAAGACAAGCAATACATCATATAGTATGGCCAATACTATATTACATTAATTTTAAACTGTTCTTTCCTGGAAGACAGACCTCTGTTATGATGACATGAGGTGATGCATGAATTGATGACTGACATTTTTATTTAACTTCTTCAATCACAACAGTATATTTGAACATACACAATAGTTTATTTTTAGCTTACAAACATCTGAGCATAAAGTGCTGACAAGGAACCCTGGTGTAAACATTAAAATGAAAGTCAGTACAATGTGCCGATTGCAGAAATATACATAAAAAAAAATCAGTGGCTTTACCACACTAGCCTTAACTAACTAGCCGTAACTAGTTCTGATTAGCGTCACCGCTGTCTCGGTGGAGTTTAATAAACTCGGCCGTCTGCTTCTTGCTATCTAAAATATAACCAGACACTGGTGTAAATTCTCGACTGTCTCATACTTCTGTTTAATAAGTTTTCTGTTTGACGTTTAGTCAGCTGTGTGAAAACCAAGGAGGAACCCACCCGGGGGATTAATAAAGTTTTATTTTATCTAATCTAACAACTTTAATCTCAGCCAAACCGATTTACTCACGAACAAACAAAACACTGAAAAAAGCCCAACAATAACATTTTTAGGTTGTCTAAGTGACTTATATATTACGTTTAACCCGAGCAGCGAAACTCCGCGGTGATCTGAAAATGATGTGCAGGGAGTTGTGCCGTTCTCGGCCGCATCAGTAACCCTCGAGCTCCCGGCTAGCTGTCGAGCTAGCCGGAGGGTAGCAGACGCCTCTGAAAATGTCGAAGCACTTTTGCAAATATGGGATATCTTGATAAACCGAGCAGATATTTGATGTTTACACAGCTACTTTCTGAAAATATGTTAAAAGTTTATTTTGTGACCCAGAAAGATTAGTATGAGTAATTTTAAAACTTAGTAGCGGCCGCCATTGCTGGAAACTGGAGTTTGGCTGGGCCGTGCTATGAATTCTGGGATATGGTAGTAATTTGGACAGCCTTCGGCGCGTCGCTGGGACGTAATCGGTCTACAAATGCGGCCTCAAGAGGATGCAGCCCATGAATTTGGACATGTCCAGAGTATAATCGCAGCCTTTGCGGTTAGAAAATTGCACTTGATCATGTCGCGATATTATCGCAAATGCGATATATCGTTCAGTCCTATTAAACAGCAAAGGCAGTTTCCTTAAAGAGTCATTTGCATGATAGCTGTGTGTAAGGTACACACCTTACATAAAGTTTGGAGACCCAGGACAGGGCAGGGCAAACTTTGGCAAATAAACCAAGAACTCTCAATGAGGTATCCAGCTGTGCAGTATTTTCTAAGATTGGGAGACACCTGGAACTTGTGGGGGTGTAGTCCTGTCACTTTACTCTAAGAGAATAAAGATCATGACCACAGTAAAATGTTATTAGCTGAAAAATAAAAAGAAATAAGGTTGGGGTTTGTTTTTTTTAAGAGAAAGGCACTTCTTGTACAGAGTCCTAGTGGAACAGTGTGGAACAACTACAGTGCAAACGGCACGTAAACCTCAATGCCTTCTTGGAAAAACTCTTTGAAATGGAAATTTCAATATAGGTTCCATCTGCAGACCGTTCATTGGAGATTAGTGCATAGCAGTGATCACCAATAGCTATCCACTTACCAAAAGCTAATTTGTTCATATTCTGCAGAGATATTTTCCATGCTAATATAGTTCAGGCTAAGCTGTTCTCACATAACATAACATCCTGTGCAGCGACTGTTCCAACACATAAAGATAACCTGCAGCAGCACTATTGGATTTTGCTTTGTGTCTGAAAGCCTGTGGTCACTGTGACTCCAATACTGGCCAAAGAGAGCTGAGTTCACTCCAACTTAATGCAAAAGTGTAATTATACCATTACCAGTCAGCCAAATTCAGCCTCCATTCATTTTAAGCAGCTAAATGCTATCTAAGGAACACCTCAAAAGATAAAATCTTTCATTTTTGCTCACCTCGTTTTGACTTGAGGGCTGGTGATGCTGGTGACGCAGGTGATCGAGAGATAATGTCAGATTTTGAAGGGGTCGTCCGTCTTCGGTCTGTATCTTTCTTAGCTGGAGAATCCATCCTCTCGGTGTTGTCCGTCTTCAAAGGACTGCTTTCCCCCTCTGGATCAGGTCTCACAGGGTTTGTGTTTAGAACTGGGCAGGGAGCTGGTGGAACAGAAAAATACAAAATAAATTTAAGTTAGTAAATGAAGAGCCAAAAGGTAACAGGAATCCGTAACTCAACCTGTTAATCTTCATTCCATGTACTACTGAGCCTTACGAAGTAGTTCAGTGTGCATGATGTAAATTTCTTGAAGTGTGAGGTGGAGCCGACTGATGGGAGAGGATCTTTAAGAACAACATTCTCACCACCGAAAGAAAATAATCCAACTGAACACTGCAAAAGTAATGAGTGAGATGTCTCTGTTTCTGTACAAAATTCTTCCAAAGACTGAAAAATATTATCAATTGCAGAGATTGCACCATTTGTCAAGAAGCACGAGATGATAAGTCCAAAGCCTCCTTTTCTGTCTCTACACATAATAGCATTTCTGCTGTGCTACCGATTTATTGACAGACTGGCCTGTACAAATAGCCTGAGTCTCTGGCAGAGCAAAACACTGTAATTGCTTTTTGGCATCCTGACGATTCTATTGAGTCACTGGAAAACAAAATCAGAGTAATCATCTATCCAAAAATGGTTAAACTTCCTGTTTTTAATGAAAACGACTCAGGAGCACACAGTTCAGGTTCAGCAGTCATCTGTAGATTTTTTTTTTTTGGGGGAAGGGGGCTGGGGTGGCCTTTTAGGGCGGCAGCTTCACTAATAGCACTATGACTCACATTTGGCAGGCTGCTGAACTTGAATCTCTAACTCAAACATTAGTTTGCCCAGGCTTTGACGGTCAAACAAAGATCCTCATGGCAGGGACACTTGGCTTTGTCCACTCAGCACTGTATCCCTGCACTCCCCGTGGAACCATGTTGGGGAACAGTGTTTTCTGTATAGTGTCTGAAGGTACACACTGGGGCAACATGCTGTAAATTATTCAGACTTATCCAAAAACAGCACAGACAGTTGGGGGCTGTCACACGAAGACAGTGAGTGCGCTGAAGATTTACTATAGAAATGCTGTGCTGTTCAACAGTTTGCACAGAAAAGGAACAATCAGCAGCGAGGCCAATTCTGTGCAGCTTCAAAGGGAATTGATCAATTTTTGTGTAAACTGTACAGTGTGCCTCTTAAGCCTTAAACGGACTGTGGAACTCAATGCGCGCACACACACACGTCTGTACGTCTGCTGCCTTGTCCATAAAAACCTGAAAACAGTCTGTATGGATGAGTGTCATCCAAGAGCGTTGGTCAGCCTTCAACTACTGCAACTGCAGACACTTGGTAGAATTCAAAAAGTAATAAAGACATAGGGCAGAGGTTGTCTGAACTCTGCTTGGCACATAGGCTATGTAAGCAATCTGGGAAATGAAGCCTGTTGCTGATGAACCTGAACTGCACAAAGGCTGACAGGCAGTAAGAGTCTATGAAAGAGTTCAGCTGGGAGACAAGACAATGCAATTTCATTGTCAGAGCATGCCACTATTAAATAAGCATTCCTTGGGCAGTGATGTGCTGTGACAGAGAGGGGCCATTGTTGTGGTCTCTGCATAGCAACGGGACAGCAGCCAAAACACTGCAATGACAGTGAGAGCGGAAAGGAAGAGGGGGATGGTGGTGAGATAGGCGGAACGTAGACGATGAGCACTAAAATCTGTTCGGTGCAAGCCTGCGTAAAAAAGGAAATTACGCAATGTAATACAACAAGAAGGGATATTTTTACTGGATTTGGTCAGGTTAAATCATCCAGATTATGTCTTTGCACAGAAAACTATTCTTGTGATTTAGTAATCAAACCCTGCTACATTTTTTTGCTACACAGAACCTCAGGTGTTGCACCACTGTGAAGTCTCAGGTGATGACGTGAAGTCTCAGGTGATGACTCACACAAACCTTATCTTGGAATTTATCATCTGGCCCTTTTTTCTCACACATCCCAGAGGGCAGATATGACAGCTAGACTACCAAACGTGGCAGGAGCTGGTACAGCTCTAACATTATACTCTGTGAGCACTTTTCCATACACCTGGGAACTGGAACCACAAAGAACTAACTTGTAGGACTGTGTTTAGCTGGTGACAAGGTTACTGTACTGTACATTGGCAATGCTGAAGAGAGTGAGAACATAGAATACTCTGTTGTGTAGGTGGTAGTGACAACGAATAGGAATGAAACCTGAGGTAGAAAAACTGGATGGGAGTTGAGGGAGAGGACTGCTGCTGTGTATCAAGAGACTGAAACAAGGGTTGATTGATACAGCGCTCCTTCTGTACATAGTTTTTGTAGCCCTGCCATTTCTTCTTTGAACCCCATTTGTTCAGTTTTCTCAAATTTAAGGATACTGCACTCTCTGTCAAGATATGTGAAATTTGTGGCTAATAGCTCTTGGGAATCATCTTAATAGTGCAAAAATGCTATTTTATCCCCATCACACCATTTTTTGTACATTCAAATAAAGAAATGGAAACAAATTATGTGTTTTTGTCAAAGGGTGGTAGTTGTAATTGGTGTACACCCAACACTGCTTCATCCCTTGAGTTGGGTGCCTTTTTATGCTTGAATGATTGAGTCAGTAAAGCTAACTCACAAAGTAAAGCTGCATTTTTGATTTGGTAGATTTTTATGCTGCATGTCCTCCCTTATGCAACCCCCAAGAGGTTCAACTCTCCGTCTGGGATCGAACCATGGGTTGTTTTTTTTTGGGGGGGGGGGGTTTGCAAGGACTGGCCTGAAAATTAGTTAAAAAAAAAAAAAAAGCAGCCTATGTCCAAAGAAAACTTTAAAGGTTTTTCAGAAAGCTTGAGTAAGTATTGCTCAAGGGCACTGAACAGATAACAAGAAACCTTGGCTTCTTGGAAATAAAATATATAGAAATGAGGGTTAACAGAGTTTTGCACCGTACTGTATATGTTGATGGTTCTGCACTAATTCACTCTGTCAAAACTGCATATAAACACAGGGGACACAAAGCCAGGAACCAAGGATGCACACAATGAATTGTGAAGCGGTGCACAGAGTGTCGGCACAAGTTTGCTCACAAGTATCCTCCACTTATCACCTTCAACATAAAAATGTCAAAGACGTCTGCTAAGTTAGTAGTTACGTAATTGCTCTAATTTACGGACTACTGCATGTCTTTAGCTGACAGTAATGGGTGCCGGTGCATTTGGAAAGCTGTCCATGCAGTGACCCCTAAAAGCAAACACGACGGGGACACACTAATGTGGTGCTTTGAACAGGATGCTTGAGTAATATTTGCACAGATGAGCTAAATGCAAGGCACTAATCTAATTCTGCAGTTTACAAATTCGGTGTTGTAAATGTTCTGAAACTGGCTTGAGCGAAGCTAATGAAATTATCTAGCTCTTGCACAATGAAATGTTCTCATTTGGAGCATTTATATGTGAAATCATTGCCAAAAGACAATTATCCACTTAATTCTATTACATTATGACTCACGTCATGGTGTCTTCAGAACTGTTATTTCGAAGAGGCGACATAGGTAAATGTGCCTTTTTTTTTTTACTTTTCAACGGCAAATGTTGAGATAAGGATGTCTTAAAAAGAAAAATAAATAAAATACAAAGTTGTGTTTAATGGCCAAATCATTGCATTTCATATTTACTTCCATTTTAAACATCTTCCCAACTTTTTGGGGGACAATAACAGAGAGACTCTACCACCTAAGGTTGTTCTTAATTAACCTATAACTACACCTCTCTGTATTTACGCGGCAGTTTCCAACAACCAAAAGCCATTAGACCACCTGCTTGTCACTTACATTATTCATAAATCAATGCACATCAGCTTCCTCTGAGAGGCTGGAGTCTCCACCAAGAACAAACATGGAAAAACACTTTGGTCCATCTTATTATTGGAAGCGCAGAGAAAAAAAATACACAATGCTTGGGTCATTATTTCACAAGCCTGATAAAATCTCACACAGGATGCTGACTGCGGTGTGTACCTCTAGCATCTGTCAATGATTCAGCTTTGTAGTATGAGCATTCAACCCCACATAATATTTATCTTTATTTGTCTGATAATCCAAAATCTCTCATTGATTTTATCTGACAAATCTGGGGCTACAAAGAAAATCATGTTTAAGAGCAACAAAAAGACATAATGTCCTGGTGTGGATGCTTTGTTTTGTTCCCCTGCATATTATATGGGCATGAGAAAACCAAGAGACTAAAGTAAAGTGGGTCAGAGGCCGTTCGGGAATCTGTAGCACGCCATGTATGATTCGGTTGAACATACAGCTCAACCGCATCTCTGTTACCCCCATCAGGTCTCCTCTGTGGCCTCTCTAGCTGCAGGTGTTGAACAAAGCCTACTGCACCAAGCTGAAGCACATTTACATTTAAAAGTGACAGAATGGCACAAAGTATCTATAAGAATTGGCAAAAAATGGTAAAGAAATCCCTGCAGAAGTGCGTGTATGCACGGATGCATAAGCACAGTGTGGGAGCAAAATGACAGGTTGAGAATCAGCAGGTAATTAGCAGAAACTCAGTCCCATTTTTCAGTTGGAACCACAGCATGAAACTTCAAATGTTGAGTTGGGAAAGCACAGAGCACAGCATCTAATGACGTCCATTGTACATTCACCCCCAAAGCACAATTACAAAGGAATTTAGCGCTTTACAGTCTGACTGAAGATATTGTGGGTAAAGGGCCAAGTTAAAACTGGGGCAACTGGTTCTACTGCCACACCAAATGTGATTAAGCATAAATCCAATTTCACAGCATATTACTTTGTTAGAGCAGGTGTATAAATACCCACGCCACAGAGCCCTTTTTCCACCTCCTAAACAGCCACATCATAAACTGCAATGCAGAAAAATCCTTCCAGGTTAATTATTTCAGTAACAACAGACTAGAAATAATTTCTTTGTTCAAACAATAAAAAATAACTATTGAGAAATGAAGCAGAGGTGAGAAAGGCTTGTCCTTGGAACAGCCCTTTGCATTTCAATGAAAATTCTTTTTTCTTAGCACAAATATAAAAACCACAGATTCTGACAGGCAGACATGTTTGTACTCTCAAATA